TCAAGGCTTTATTCTTTTCCTACTCTGCCACTGCTGCAGCAAGTCAACCGGAGGTGGGCAAGAAGTTGTGAGGGGAAGCAGCTGGGACAGCTGACCCAGGTTGGCCTGAGGAGTACTGCATGCCTTATAATGCCATGCTCAGCAATAAAAACTGGGGCAGTAGAGGAAGATGCCCTTTTTCTTGGTGTCCAAGGTGACTTGCTTATAGACTGTCTGCATGTGGGAGATGGTGCACTGCCTCCCCCACTAGCTTCACCTGTGAAAATGCCTTTATTTTTTACTCTTCCATTCACATGTTAAACTTCCTTCACATTGCTCCTAGAGTGTTCTTGCTTGTGATCTTCTCTCCCCTGTCCTGCTGAGGGTGGGGCAGTAGGATGAGAATGGATATGGGAGAGCTTCACTGCTGGCCGGAGGTCAAACCTCAACCACTAAACGTTACTGTATTAAACTCTATCCCTCCCATGATTTTTACAGTTATTTTGAAACACTTGCAGAGTCTCTTTATTTTATTAATTTTTCAACTATTCAGTTACAACAGAACTGCTGTTCCTGAAGGGAAGTTAAAACCTATCAGGAGGAAGATGTTTTTGGTTTTTTGGGGTTTTTCAGTTCTGCAGCCTAAATATGATAGTATTCAGTTAGGTGTATTTCGCTATGATTTTTGCCTATGATCATGTACCTGATTTCCTGGGTTTTTTAGTTTTTTCCTCACAAAGTAGACTTATGGTCAAGTCAAAAGCCAGCATTTTGAATACTGTTATGACACACTTGCCAGGAGGTTCAGTATATGTCTATTTTTATCAACACTGATAATTCTTTGCTTTCTGTACTAACAGGATCTTAAACCAAATAATTTGTTGTTGGATGAAAATGGAGTTTTAAAATTGGCTGACTTTGGATTGGCAAAATCTTTTGGAAGCCCAAACAGAGTTTATACACACCAAGTAGTAACAAGGTAAGTTTTGTTTTTTACATAGTGATTGTGTAGCTGGTTTGCAGTGTTTCTCAAAATATGTCATGTCAAATCAACGTGTTTAAAGTTTGACATCCAGCTCATATGATATGGCTGCAGTGGCAGGAGTCTCATAAAGAAACACAGGAAAGGATTGTTTAGCAAAGTGTCACTAAGAACTGCTACAATATGCATCCATGAGGATTGTTCTGGGGTATATTACTCTTTTGAAATGCATTAAAGTAATATGTATCTGCCTATAAGCCTGGCTTTCACAGCAAGACAGCGGTTCCTTTATGTCAACCTGGAGTCTTTTTGTAGCTAGTCACATTACCTATTATCACACAGAAGCTTGAATCAATTAAAATATTTATTATTGTTGTTTATGGCATGCTTATTTAAGGTACGCTTTTA